TGCAGCCCAGGGGCAGTGGGTGCGGCGGCTGCGGTACGTGGGTTTGTACGCCTTGTGCTCCCTGCCCCATGCTCCTCACCAGAGCCCTGAGCTCATGTTCTTTTCCACACTCTCTTTTGAGGAGCACAGACCTAAAAATAAGGCAGTTCAGGTCTGGCCTCCAAATCTGTCACAGTAACGTGTGGGTTTGAAATTCACCCCTCCTCCCCACGATCAACGATCTTGTTGCTCTCGTCCATATAAGGCCCACTCAAGGCACAAAAGCCAAGCTGCGCTATTTATATTTCCTCGTCCAGCCCTACCTACCCTACACATTGTACAGCTGAGATTCATGTTCTGCCCTGCTCTCGTAGCCACCCAGCCCTTGCCTGAGAAACTCTACATCTCGCGAGGCTCTGAGTGGCTGCTGGAGGGACCTGAAGAGCAGAGGAGCCCCCCGGGAGCCCCCGAATGTGACAGCGTGGGGAGCAGCCTGTCCGCACACCTTAGACAAAGGCAGCTCTCTTTCCAACCAACAATGCCGCACATCACGAGCCAGACTTCCCTCGAGCTCGGCGCCCACATGAGCCTCAAAATAAAGGACCAGCAGACTTCAGAAATTCAATACTCAGTATGTGTGCTGAGTGCTGCAAGCATTTGTCTGGCTGTAAGAAAATCAGGCCTTTGACATTTGCCGGAATAAGTTTAATTGTTGAAAAATGTTTGGAGGAAAAATGCCGTGCTTAGGTAAGTGCTGACATGTGCCGTTCTTCAGATGAATGTGGCACGCTGTCGGGTTTTAGAGCAGTAGCTTTCTGCCTGGTACATCCATTATTTAATCATGAACTGTAGTAACCAGCCCCAGATTCTTGTATCCTAAAACCAGGAGATTTGGGATGAAGTCACTTTAGTTTGTTTTTATTAACAACCACTCTAACCAAATTTGTTGGTGTCCTAATTTCTCTGAAAGACAGGAGCCCAGGACAGATGGCACAAAGGGAGCACTGAGGAACTCTGTTCCCATGGGCTGTTAATAAGTGCACGTAGTCATTTGACATCAGACTTTTTAGGAAGGCAAGTCCTGTTTACGGTAAGAGTACTGAAGTTCTGTTTACACAGCAGCTTGACAAAAGTCTCTCACCTTTAGTTTTGGTAGGCAAGTTTTCAAAACAAAAAGATGTGGTAATTTGGAGGGGGTGTGTGGTTTTTTCAAATTTTATTCTCAAGAATCAATCTAATTCCCTGTGTTAAGTCGATACAAAAACTCTTACCTTAGTAGGAATCAGACCAGCTCCTGGCAAAATCAGGTAAGAGTATTTGAGAGACTGACCGAGTGAGAGAGCGCACACACATATATACGTGACTGCAAGTAACGGCCCGTAAACATTATGCTTAATGCCTGGCCCTTAGCTGGCCCCAGTGGAAGTGATTTTCAATTCTGCACTTTCTCCCTCAAAGTCTGAAACTACACAGGCAGATGTGCTCTAGGCTCATCTCAACGGGTCACGTCTTCCCTGAAAAAAAATTGATTTTCATTTCCTCCTAATCCAACAGCTAGCAAAATACAACTCTCGCAGGCAGAGTGGCCTCTTCTCCCAAGGTGCCAAGTCTTATTTGCACTTCTGAAATAGTCCTTCCGTAGCTGTTGGAGACTCAGTATTCAATGCTGAGAGAATAATCAAACATCTGTTAACAGTAAAGAGCTGATTTATCTTTACCTCCTTTTATTTCTTCATACCACAGAATCATGAAATACGAAATCCATATAGAGCATGACTACTGTTTTACTCAGCTATCTTGCTTGAAAATAGCCACCGCTGGTTTTATGTAATATTTTATGTCTCTTAAGATAAGTTTATCTCTTGTTCTCCAAAAGAAAAGACTAATAAATCTTTACATTTTTACCCATAGCAACTAAAAATGCAATTGCACAGAAAAGTTAACCACAGCTCTCCAAAGGCGGCTTTTTCTGAGTAGTAAAAATGTTGCCTCACCATCACAGAATTAATTACATTATCAAGAAAGTATCTAACAAATTTTGATAGGTGGTGGTCTTGGAAAGGGTGGAGCCCATCATAAAGTTTTGGGTTTATAGACTCTTGATATATATTTTTTTTAATTTAATGATTATTAATTCTGAAACACAGAAGGATATTAGTAAACGGGTACTCCAGCTGGAATCAACAAGGCTTCTTGCAACAAATAGCATTGTTCACTATCAGTAAAGCAGCTGAATGTCATCCTCAATTTGATAAATACCTTTACAATGTACACAAAAAAAAATCACTTCTTTCTGCATAGAGTTTTATTATTTAAATGTTTTAGCATTATCTGTTTTGCATAATCCCAAAGTACCACTCTTTTCATTGATGTGCCTAGAATTACTGACTGTGATAAAATATTCATATGAATAAATAGAGACACAAAATTGTAACCTGATGTTTTTGCAAATCTGCTGTGCAATTCCCTGAGTTAGGAATTTCTGAAGAATGACATCTCCATAATTACAGTAAGACACAAATTCTAAAAATCCTGTCCCTCCCAGGAAAAAACAAAGCAGAATAAAAAAACCCCAAAGCCAAAAGGAAAACTTTCGAGATCCCCCAAAATGTTTAACTTACTCAGAATAAAAGGTCTCCACAAATAAGAGAGACTCCTAGATCAACAGAATATTTTTCCTTACGCCAAGCCATACAATTCAGGTTTCTGTACACTGAAAATTAAATGATGAGGTTTTTATGGAGTGCGATCTACAGAATAATGCGACCGTTAAGCAACTCTATTTTCTGTATGAGAAATAATAATTAATGTAGCTCTGAGACAGACTGTAGATTGATATAATTTAGAAACATTCTGTGTTGATCAAAAATCTATGTTTCCATCGTATGCAGAAAGAGCAGTATTGCAGAGGACTGCAAAAGTATACCCCACTCTTCCAGGGGATTCCCTGTGGTCCATGTCTGGCCATCAAATTCTCATTGTATGGGTCTGTCTTTGCCACAGTAATGCAGCACAATACTACTATCGATAAAAGTACTTGTTACTCAGGCACATTAATATCATTATTGCCTCTTTCTTTCTAGCATTCAAACATCAAAAGACCGCCATGGATTTTGTTTTTCAGTTTAAGCATCACATTAAGAGATAATCAGGAGTTTCTCCTCCAAGAGAGACCTTTGTTTGCCTTAGCAGTGTCCGTCACAAGCCTGCACGCCTGCTGCCACGCCTTTGGTCTCCCCAGAACTGGAGCCTTACCCTTTGTGGCAAGGTCTACCCAGGCCTCCTGCAGAAGTGCGAGGATTTCCATGAGGGCACAAAAGGCTCCATTTCAGTGAAGCAAACCTGGAGAATTTCTCACTTGTGCTCTGTGGCCTCACAGTCAAATCACACCAAATTCCATGCTGGGAAATTGTTCCGAATTACAAATAATTCTTTTTTTTTTTCCTAATATCTTCATGATTCACAAAATCCCTACTGTAGTCCCTTGTCAACTGATTTGTTCAGAGGCTTTTCTGTCCTTGTTACATCAGCAAGAGTATTGCCCCTGATTTCCTTTAGAAGCAGGATTGCTTTTGCATAGTCAGAGAGAAACTCTACTCAATATTCATAAGCAACAACAAACCAAAATGAACAGCTCACAAAATGACAATCTGCCAATCTTTAGGATGCTTCCAAACGACCTAGAAGCTTGCCAACTTCCTACCTGTTTCTGTAACCCACAAGAAATGTTATGTTTAAACAATTCACTTGTCTCATTTTGCAATGTTTGTTGCTTCTGCAGAACATTTAGAGTTCTATTTTATTTTTCCATGGATAGATCTACCCTCCCTCAAAAGCCTGCCACAAAGAGCTTGTAAAAAA